CACCTTCATTGCTGTTGGGATTAAAGCCTCTGTTTTGCACCTGCCACCTGTGTGAGGTGTGTCTTCATGCCCCGTGCTTGTCCCCTCAGGTCCCCTGCCCTGGGGCCACAGTGTCAGTGCGGGCTGGACCTCTCCTGCTAACGGGTTAGTGACAGCAGGCTTTGAGCAGAGATCTGGTCTGAGCCCAGCTCCCCGCCCAGCTGCAAGGTGGCAGGTAGGCTCCTGAACCGGTCGCCCGGCTTACTGGATTGTAAGATGGGACGGTCACAGGTGACTTCTGGAGGGGATCCCAGATGGGAACTCCTCAGCCAGGGCCTGGCGCCCAGCAAGTCCCTGGGGGTCCCTGTGGTTGTTCTGGGTGAAGCCAGCCCCTCTGGATTCCTGGCTCGCCCCCAGGCTGGCCTGATGGAGTCTTGGGTGGGACCTGGCAGGGAAACGTACCTGTGGTCTTTAGAGGGGTGGCCCTGGGTTCTCCCTTCTCCATCCCTTCTGGAGCTGCTGGGCCAGAGACTAACTCAGACTGTCATGTTCAAAGAATAAGAGTCCTCACCTTTTCCCCTGGCCTTAGGGCCTCAGCCCCAGTCACCTGCGCCCCTCGGGTTCCTGGGGCCAAAAGCCTTGCCTTTGTGTTCAAACCCCAGGCCTGCTGCTTACTAACAGGAGACCCTGTGAGTTGACTTGAGCTCTCTGAGCCTTGGCTTCTTGGTCTGAAAAACGGGCATAGTGGTACATCATTGATCTTGAAGGTTCATTTCTCAAATGGTGGCTGCATATTTCTCACGACTGCAGTGAACCCCAAAGTATGTGTTACATCGTGGGGGCAATATCAGCAGATAGTAAGAGCACTGGTGTGGGCAGGGGTTACGTGAACTCGACGGGTCCAAAAGACCCCAGAGAGGAGGGGCGGCAGCTATGGAAAGCGTGGGAAGGGGTAGGGGGTGGCATCCAGGGCCCAGGCTCCCAGATGAGTGCAGTGTCCTAGGACAGGTGCTGGAGGGCTTTGTGGGTGGGTGGGGCCAGAGGGAACATGGACCATCTGGAGGCAGCAGTGGCACTTGGGCCCAAGGATGGTGGTCCAGGTGAGGCTCAGACTGGGTGGCGGGCAGTGGTCTGGGGTGGCCAGTATTTGGGTCATGTCGCCATCAGGAGGGAGGTGTGAGAGGAAAGAGAGCTGGGGAGAACCCCGGTCCTTGGCCTGTGTGGCCTGATGCTACTTTGGGGGTGGGGAGGGCGGAGGAGCGTGGGGGGATGCCCGCAGGCTACTGGCCCTGCTCAGGTGGTGACTGGGGAGTGGCCGGTGACTGGGGAGTGGCCGGCGTGTGGATGGGTGTGGTGCCACCAGAGCCAGGGTCACCACGGGGGAGGACTGCGGGGGTGGGGTCTGGGAGCAGGTGGGACCCTCAGCCCCGAAGATGTGCAGGTGGCCCTGGGCTTGGGTCCTTGTGAGGGCTGCACGGTGGGCTGGAGGCGAGGCGTGGGCGTGAGCACCCTCTGCTGCTGTCGGGAGCAGGGATGGGAGAGCGGGTGGAACCACGGGCAAGGCGGCCCTTGGCGGGGGCCCTGCTCAGGCCGCTGCGTGGGCCCCGTCCTGCCGGGCACTGGGAAGATCCATGGAGAGGATGAGGTGCCGGCAAGAGAGGGGAGACAGAAGAAAACCAGTCCTTGGAAAGGCAAAAGTGAGCCGGGGCGGTGGCGTATGCCTGTGATCCCAGCACTTTGCCTCAACCCAGGGGCTGGAGACCAGCCTGGGCAACTTGGCAAGACCTCTTCGCTACAATGAATAAAAGTCAGCAGGGTGTGGTGGCGCGCACCTGTGGTTCCAGCTACGTGGGAGGCTGGGGCAGGCGGATCACCTGAGTCCAGCAGGTCAGAGCTGCAGTAGCCGTGAGTGTGTCACTGCACTTCAGCCTGGGTGACAGAGTAAGAAAACGACTCAAAAAAGCCCAAAAACAAAGGTGGCCTCCTTGGGCAACCACGGCAAGATGCTGGACCCTTCTCCCAGGGGAAGGGCAGGCCATCAGTTTCCACTTGCTGGGTGGTACCGGTTTTACTTTACAAGGACAAACGAGGCAAGGCCATCACCTGCCCGTGGGGTGGGAGGGGCTGTAGAGCGGCCTGAGG